CCCCAAAACCCCAAAACCCCAAAACCCCAAAACCCCAAAACCCCTTTTAAGAGATATTAGATTGAAAAAAAGTAATCTTAAAAATCAATTCTATGAATATAGAAAGTCGAAATAGAATCGGTACTGAGTCTATCTCTCATTTCTAGAGCCAATTTCTCCCCAAAGAATGCATGCATCAACCCTTCCTCCTTCCTACTCCCTCATAGACACAGAATCCTCTCTCAAAAAGTATGCTAATTATCTTAAAATATTCGGATGGATTCTGATGGTGACTGGAATTCTCCAGATTTTAGGAAGGATAGGGGGGCTTGATGATGACTATGATCTTTATGTTGATTACGATGACTTGGTAGTGAAGGAAGGAGATCTGAAGATGTCTAGTACAGCTCAAGGGATCTGTACCTTTTTGGATATAGTTTCTGGGATCCTACTTGTGTTGATAGGGTGGATGTCTCTGAAGACTAGTAAAGATCCGACAAGAGGAAACACTTGGAGCCTTGTTTTAAAGGTGGTTGCAATTGTTTTGGTCAAAATGGTTCTGATTTTGCTGACATTCCTTACGGTGAGCTATTCTTACTCTAAAGCCTATGTTGAATGGGTGCAGGAGAATGAAGATATGTTTGAAGGATGGGTTTCGGATAATCGTACCAGTGCAGATAATTTTGGCAATATGTCAGAAAAAGATGAGGAGAGATTTGAACAAATATTTACAACAGGATTTACTATATTCTTCTCAATAATCTTTTCATTCTGATTCCTGTGCTGCTGTATCCTTTCCTGTTCTTCTTGTATGATAGGCTTTACCTACAAATTACACTCAAAATCAAAAGAAGTTGACCTTTTACACCAAGGTGCAGAAATGAATCTGGCTAATCCAAGGCAATACGATATGCGCCTTTTGCAATCTGAAGCATCAAATAATTCAGCTCCCTACAATCCAGGAATCCAGTCAAATAGAGGAAGTCTCATTGGTGGGGGTGAACTTCCGACTCGCCTCCAGAATGATCCTAGTAACAACATGCTGTAACCCCTAATTTTATGAAACTAAAATTAGCCCAGGATTTTTAATTCCTTTATCAGAAATCTATTTCTTATCAAATATGTAGGATTTCAATCGACGAATATTTAGCTGGGGTTTTGGGGTTTTGGGGTTTTGGGGTTTTGGGG